TCTGAAGATCCATTCTTGGTTTTGTTAAACTTACTTTTTTTGTGGTTGACTTTCTGTGATTTCCTATTTTTGTCTTGTCTTTTCGAAGGCAGTAGAGCTTGCTGTATGTCCTCCTAAGCTTGGGGTAAATTTTACTCGTTTGTTAGTGGGTTTCTTTCAGCAGCTTTGAAGTTGTGTGTCTTCTGCTATGAACCATCGGCACCCGAGATGGTTCTACATCCAGCTCCATTAATTCCAAATCCCAAATGATTTCATTCCTCTCCTGATCTCTTTTTTTCTTTTGGGTTTTTGAGAGTGTGGACTATTGGTCTTTCTGCCTCCGTGTCTTATATATACACCCGCTACTCTTGTCTTCCTTATTTTTTTCACCCAAGGGAAATTTATAAAAGTTTTAAGTTCCCAAATGCTAGAATTTCTTTTATTTTAAAATTGTATTGTGGTCAGAAAAAGAATAGTTTTGACTTAACCCTTTCAACCCCTAGGTTTCCTCTGTGGCTAATAATAAGAGTTATGTGTTATGGGGAATCAAGTGTAGGACCTCACACATGCTAGGTAAGGACCTGCCACTGGGCTGCACAGCCAGCCCTATGGCTGTCTTTTAAGTGTTAGGAGGGCCATTGAAAAAAACATGTCTTTTTGTTTGGGTGTCGAGTTTTACATGTGTATAGGCCTATGTTTTCTTGCTCTGCTGTTACTTTTTCCAGCATAAACATTTAAAAACATTTAAGGTTAATATATAAATGGTTTCATTATGGCATTTATATATATATGTATATTAAAGCATATATATATAATACTTTGTTATGGTTTATTCCTCCCCTCTCCCTGCTTTGTTCTCTCTTCCCCATTCTGGCTGGTTCCTTTCTTAAATCCTGATGGCTTCTCTTTCTGCCTTTGTGTCACGTGTAGTTTATTCCCGCCTCCTTTCTCAACTCCTAGAAGCTCCATTCTTCTGTGACCTACACACATATACACTTCCAAATACTTACATAGAAATATACATGTGTTTAATTTAAAATGCAGTTCTACACATGAAAAAAAGCATGGTAGTAATTGAGTCTCGCTCACTTTGTGTTAATACAATTTTTAGGTTGACCCATTTTCTTGCAACTCTGCTGTCATTTTTCTTTACGGTCACTGCTTTTGTGCACCACATTTTCATCATCCACTCTTCTATTGATGGACATGTAGGCTGGTTCCACTGCCTGCCCATTGTAAACAGTGCCACCATTTTAAGCATGGATGGACATTTTGTGAAACTGGTCAAGAGTCCTTCAGGTATATGCCCGGGAGCACAGCGGGGTCAAATGTCCTCTCATGTTAGTTCCTTAAGAAGTTCCATGCTGATGTCCATGGTGCACGCTAGCGTTCCCACCAGCAGTGTGTAAGGAGTCGTCTTTCCCCACCTCCTCACCAGCACTGTCCTGTGTTCTTGATGACAAGCATGCTCACTGGGACAGGCAGGACTCTCCAGGCACTTTTAACTTCTCACGTCTCTGACGGCCAAGGATGTTCACTTTTCAAGTACGTATTTATTTACACCTCAGCTTTTGTGAACTGTCTAGTCAATTCACTAGCTTATTTTTTGGTGGATGATTTTGGTTTGGGGTGTTGAAGACTTTCAGTTGATTTATTTTCCATAGTCTGCCTTCAGGTACCTTGGCCTCTCTGGCATTGATGGGTCCCACTGACCTCATCTTTCTTCAAAGTAGGGTAAAAATATCATCAAATAATAAAAGCAGCGCCCAAAGCCACTGATTTTGTGTTATTCTGTACCTGACTGCTTTGCTGAAAGGCTTCATCAGGACTAAGTTCTCTGGGGGAGTTTTCAGGGTTTTTAAAGACAGGACTATGTTGTTTGCAAGTAGGGATAATTTTGGCTTCCTTCCTATTTGTATCCTATTTCTTTGTGTTATTGCTCCAGCTAAGGCTTCAGGCAGAACACGATACTACTTATCCCCTCTACTTTTTCCTGTTTCCATGTTTACAGATACTCTCCTTCTAGTCTCATGGGTTCTTAGGTCTGTCTTTTGACTGTATCCCAGAGATCTAGACATTGTGTTCATGTTTGCTTATTTTTCACTTGCTAGATTTCTCTTTTACGTTGCCTTTTCATCCATATTGCTGAAGTTCTCCCCCACTGCTCCATCTTTTGACCTTATGATGACTTTCCGCTCCAGCTCCCGGGCTGAATTAACCTGCTGCTCTGTATCTTCTTTCAGCACATTGAACATTTTTACTGAGAAGAACAAAGTTACAGACACTCAGCTGGGGGTGAGAGGAAGGAAAGCTGAAGTTGCTTCCAAACCCAGGTTCTGCCTCACCCTATCACTGACTGGCAGAGAAAACTGAGGCTTCAGGAGGAGGCTGATCAAGCTACAGAGCTTTCTCTAAAACAGATCATGTATTAGGTCACAAAGCAAGTCTTTAGACAGGAAATTAAAATAAGTTGCAGGAGAAATTATGGGCAAAGTCAACAAGGAAGGAAAAAAAATCCTAGAACTGACTAAACATGAGAAAACACGTCAGAATCTACGGGCTACAGAAAGGTGCGATGCAGGCTCTCAAAGGAGAATTGTGGTCAAGGTCTTGCTCAGCCAGGTATGATGTGCACACAGACACAACATGACTGTTGTGGGGGCATAATCAAGCACCTTCTGATCATGAGGTATGTGACAAACTGCACAAGGTGGGAGGGCAGGCCAGCACAGGGTACTAACTGTCAATTAAAAGGATTTCCAGTGACAAGACTGCACAACGGTAAACACGTTAGTCCAGTTTATTCACTGTGCCCAACAGGGACTTTGATTTAAATTCTTTGTTTCTTTGAGACAGGGTTTCTCTGTGTAGCCTTGGCTGTCCTGGACTCACTTTGTAGACCAGCCTGGCTTTGAACTCACAGAGATCCACATCTGCCTCTGCTCCTCGAGTGCTGGGATTACAGGTGTGTGCCATCATGCCCAGCTGATTTAAATGCTTTTATTTTGAACTAACTGAAAATAAATGAGTTATCTAACAAGTTGGCTGGCACCTAAACTGAAGGATTTTCCTAAGTTGCATCATGATAAAATTTGATTTGTGTAAATTTTACTTAATTTTAGAATTAAGAATTTTACTAATATAAAATCATAAAACATATTGGAAAGAAAGAGAAAGTAAATTGGCTGGTACATTTATTGGCAAATCCATAGTCAAGCTCCATGATTTAAAATTATTTAAAACAAAAGTAAAAACATCCATTAAAAAACACATTGTTTTTTAAATTAAAATAATTTTTTAAAACTTCAGTATGATGATTATAAAATAAAAAGTATGAAAGTGACACATTTGTAATTACAGAAAACATTAAAAATGAACATTTAACAGAGATTGTCTTGCGATGCTTTGGGAATAAAGGTGGGAACAAGTATTTTATTTATGTGTATTTATTAAAAGATTTTCCAAATTACACTGCAAATGGTCCTTTTTTTGTATAGAACATGAATTTACTCAAGAGATAGAATGAATAAAATTACAAAGACGGTGGGAAAGTAAGTTGTCACATACTCAAATACGCAGCAAATTATTGCAAAGGACATGGCCTGAACATAGAAGGCACACCAGTTACACAGTTACACAGTTACACAGGGAGGACTACCGCCTTCAGGGACGTTCACACACACACACACACACACACACACACACACACACACACACACACAC